AGGGGGTGTTGTTGTACTTCCTAGCTCCTTAGTACCTGCGGGAGAGTAAGCTGTTGTGAAGATGAATGAAGCCTTTGTTCAAGAGAGTGTTTTCCCTTTTCTCCTAGGATACCTGGGATGAACTCCTCATTGGCAACGTGGAACTGAAAAAGGTTTTGGCTTGCCCCAGGTAAGGAGTCTTTCCAGGGACGGCCTCTAGGGTGCAGTGTTGCGTGGGCTCGGAGCAAAGAGCCTGCATCTCAGCTTTGGCTGTTTGCCGACAGGTGCCTCCTGACCACCGTGGATCCCGACACCGGGGTCATGGACCGGAAGGAGCCCCTGGAGACCTTGAAGACGTAAGACGCCCATGTGCCCCGGGTGTTTTCAGGACTGTGGCCTGTGGGGGTTAGTGGCAGGGCTGAGCCTGGGCGTTAAGTGGGCTTGGCGGCTCCGCCTGGGACACCCTACTACTTGTGGGCTGGTGTCTGTCGGCTAATGTAGGCAGGTCCGTGCCGCTCCCTCTTTTTACCTCATTGGACCGTCTAGTGCTCTTCACAACTCTCGAATGGTATGCTCGAGAATGCTGGAAATGCTGATTTCTCCATACCAATGCCTCAAGTATTTTAATTATTTTGATTGCCAACTCAAATTTCTTTACTAGTACTAATGCCAAGGAAGATGAGAATAGTTGAACCATATACATAACGTATATGGTATATTATCTGAACAATAAGAATAGATATATAATGAGGGATTAGGGAGAAGGGGGCTGTAACGGGTTAGGGGGCTGTAATGCCCACAGGGGTTGCTCAGAGTCAGAATCGACCCGATGGCAGTGAACTTGGTTTTGGTTTAAGGCGTTACCAGAGGCTGTTGATACAGGGCTTTTTTGGTTTTGTTTTTAAATGTGGGCAGAGATCCAGTTCTCAGTGCAGGTGTATTTTCAAACCCGTGTCACACATTTTGCGGCTGTCCTTGCCTCGCGTTCTTCTGTTCCCACTCCATCCTTGGCAAGAGCTAGAGGTGAGAGACCAGCCCATTCAGAGCTCTTTTTAAAGCTCTGCACATTTCCAGTTCTATTTTCAACTTTGGTTTTTAGGATGTCGTGATGTTTGTTTTTTTTTTAACAGCCTGGTTTTATCAACCTGTTCATCGTCTGTTTGTTTTTTAAGTAACTTCAGCAACAATTGAGATCTACATGCCAAGTGCATCTCTGCCTGAATGTTTGCTCCCCAAAGAGCCCCAGCCTTGGGTTTATACCTGAGGAGGAGCCTGGCATCCGAGTGTTTCTTGGCAGTAGACAGAGCGATTGGAGGGTCTAGGGCACCTGCACTTTGAGATGCCACGGGCACATTTCAATGCATGGCAAAGTTAGTTACATTTTCCTTATTAAAAAATTAATAGTTTCCTTATGCATGTTACTTAAACTATGAAATTTGTTTCCATGTGTGTCTTCAATTCCCACACATAAGGAAAGTATTAATTTTAAGTAATGCAGCTATACTGTTTTCACATTGAATTGTAATTGAAGCTGGGGGAAAACCGTTTAGACTCTCAGGAGCCTTCTAGAAAAGCCCAGATTATTTGCAGTTTGACAGCTCCATCCCACTGAGTTCTCTCTCAACATTTTAGAAAAACCTTGCTACTTGTGAATTCTGCTACGAGAGGGTGAAATTGGTTACCTTTCTGTGCCTGCTGATGATTTTTTGCTTCTTCCAGCTACCGCCTGTGTGATCCTTCGGAGAAGCATTTGTACAAGTCGTCCCCACTTTTTGGGGTCTATTACTTGGTGGAGAAAATTGGAAGCCTGAAAGTTGGTGACCCTGTGTATCGGATGGTAGAATGATGGATCCATGATGGTGATGTGGCCAAAGGTCAGCTTTGCTACCAGAAGGCAGTGCCTTGACCGCCAGCAGCACAATTTCTTGCGCTTTTACGCTTTGCTCCTTCCACTCTTTGGAGAATCGTGGGGTTGTGTCTGGGACTGAAGAATGCCCCCTTTTCCTGTGCCCCTCAACTCATCTGTGTATTTCTGCCTCAGCTTCCTTTGGCTCGTGTTCTCCTCCAATTATAAAATGCTGGGACATGAATCTCAGCAGAAAAATAGTCTCTCCTTTCATTGAATACTGTCCTTGAAAAGAAACTTGGGAAACAGGTTAAGTCCAATGTATTTTATCAGATACATATTTGAAATGTAATTGAAATTGGAACAGAAAATCAGCGCATCTAGGTAAGAGGATCCTGAATCATGAGATAGAAATATTTTTACAGTGATGTCATGGAGCTAAATTAAATTCTGGGTCCTAGAGGCATAATGATGCCTAACTCAAATGATGGGAAGGAGAAAGTTGGTTGGAAGACTTCACATTGAAATTTTAAAGTAATAAGTTTGATAAAATCCACAAGCCAGTTCTTATAGTCACCTCATGCCTGAAACTCTTGACCTTTTTTGTTTTTATTTTTTTCTAATTCAGGTCTGCCCTCCATTGTGGTACCTACCCTTTCAGCCTAGATACCACTAGGTCTACCAACCATAAAGCCATTATACGGATACATGGTTAGGACTGCTCCACATCTAGTGCTAGATAGATTTCAGTTCTTAATCTTGGCATCTCCTATTCCTAATTTGGTTGATTTGTTTTGACTGCCACTAAATCTCATTAAAAGAGACCTGGTAGCACAGTAGGCTCTGCCGTAGTCTTTGTAGTAAGATATGTAGTACTCATTGGATTGCTAACCCTAAGGGCAGCAGTTCAAAACCACCAGACAATTCACAGGAAAAAGATGAAGCTTTCCACTCTGGTAAAGAGTTAATAGTGTTGGAATGTTTCAAACTGTGGCATCTAAGAAGCCGGAGGTCTAAGAGGAGCAAACAGAACTTCCAATGAGCTGGTCCATAATGGGTGGAGGTGGCTGCCACAGTCATGTGGGAGCAGGAAGCCATACACGACTGCTGTGCTGTCAGAAGGGTCCTGTGATACTCTTGGAACACATTATTAATTCACCTGGTGCAGATGACGAGCCTTGGGGGCCGGGCCGAGCAGAGGATTGGGGAGCATGCTGTATATGCGTCTGGCACACAGATTTGCTCCTGGCTTGTGTGCTTGGCTTGGACAGAGGACTTCTGTTTCAACAACTTAACCACGGGACTGTTGAAATACTGACTTTTTCTCTCCCTGAAGCATGATGAAGTAATAGATGGATCATGTTTGTGTAGTGCCAAGCCAATGTGCCTTTTAAATTATTTCTGATGCAGGGAAGACTGCTCCTCTTCTACTCTGGCAGGCGGTCATTCATCTGTCGTCCCTGAGTTTTGCTTTTTGTTCGTCTTTTTTTACGGTGTACACTGAGACGATTTCTTCCATGGTCTATAGGACAGCCTTTAAACCTGGCTGGGAGAGGTGGGAGTGGTTCAAGGGTACAGCCCAAAGTGTTGGAGTCCCATAGGCCTCGGTGTCCATGGCTGCTCTGCCACTGACTGGCCCGGAGCACTGACCCACCGCTCTACCTGTCTCTTTCCCTCTTGTGAAGAACGAGCATCGCCATATTTACATGTCTCACCTCATTTTAGCCTAACAGTGACCCTGATGGTCAAGAGCCCACGTGGTGCCTGGCAAGGAGTAAATTCTAATAAATCAAAGCTGCTGTTGGCTTGTGTGATGGGGGAGGAACGGCTTGGTCTTGAGCAATGGAGAGCACCGCTCAGTCTCCTGTCCTAGGGCAGCCCTCACCCTAGAGAACCTTGTGGTGAACATATGCTCTCTGCCCTCAAAGCATTTTTTCCTTTTGTAAGCGGCATTTTATGGGTTGTTTTGCAATCGGCACAGAGACTTTATGAACAATTTGTACACAGTGCTTTAAAAAATTTTTTTTATTTAATCATTTTATTGGGAGCGCTTACAGTTCTTATAACTCCATCCATCCATCCATTGTGTCAAGCACATTGTACTTATGTTGCCATCATCATTTTCAAAACACTTTCTTTCTACTTGAGCCCTTGCTATCAGCTCCTCATTTTTCCCCTCCCTCCCTCCCTCCCTCATGAACACGTGATAATTTATAAATTACTATTCTTTTCTTATCTTACACTGGCCGGTGTCTCTTTACTCACTTTTCTGTTATTAGTCCCACTGGGGGTGGGGTGGGGGGTTATACATCGATAATTGTGATTGATTCCCCTTTTCTCCTCCCACCCCCATGTTTCTCCTACCCTCATGGTATCGCTACTCTCACTATGGTCCTGAGGGGTTATCTGTTCTGGATTCCCTGTGCTGTGAGCTCTTATCTGTACCAGTGTACTACTCTCTGGTCTAAACATATCTGTAAGATAGAATTGGGGGCATGATAGTGGGGAGGAGGAAGCATTAAAGAACTAGAGCAGTGGTTGTCAACCTGTGGGTGGCAACCCCTTTGGGGGTCGAACGACCCTTTCACAGGGGTCCCTCGATTCATAACAGTCGCAAAATGACAGTGATGAAGTAGCAACAAACATAATTTCATGGTTGAGCGGTCACCACAACATAAGGAACTGTATTAAAGGGTCCAGATATTAGGAAGATTGAGAACCACTGAGCTAGAGGAATGTTGAATGTTTTGTCGGTACCATACCGCACCCTGGCTGCCTCATCCCTTCCTTGTGATCCTTCTGTGAGGGCATGTCCAATTTTCTACAGATGGGCTTTTGGGTCTCCACTCTGCCACCCCCCTCATTCTCATCAATATGATTGTTCTGGGTCTTTTGATGCCTGTTACTTGATCTCATCTACACCTCATGATCACACAGGCTTCTTCCATGTGGGCTCTGTTGCTTCCCTGCTAGATGGCTGCTTGTTTATCTTCAAGCCTTTAAGACCACAGACGCTACATCTTTTGATGGCCGGGCACCATCATCACATTTGCTTATGCTCCCATTTTGTCTTCAGCAATCATGTCGGGAAGGGGGAGCATCACAGAATGCCAGCTTATTAGAAAAAAGTGTTCTTGTGTTGAAGGAGTACTTGAGTAGAGGCCCAATGTACGTCTGCTACCTTAATACTTAACATATGTACATCAATCTATTTCCTTATCACTATATATAAGTATACTTACATATGTACATGCCTGTATTTATACCTCTACAAATGTACACAATCCTAAAATGGCATGTAGATAGGATTCTTTTCTGAATTCTGGTGACTTCTCAGCTTTAAACTTGGGGGCAATTTTTAAAAAGAGGTTATCCAGTACCATTATCTTCAAATGTTTATAAGCCTTTACATCTTAAGTCCCACTGATTCACAGTTTAATGTCACACACACTACACACTCAATCACTCAGCCCTTCGCCGTACATAACAAAGCTGTAGGGACACGGGGCTGCCCTGACCGAGGAGGCTGCAGAGTGCACAGCATTCTGACAAGAGAGCCATGACAGGATGGTTTTCAGACACAATTATAGTAAAAAACAACAACACGGAAACACAATTTTAAACATTCAAGGCATCCAAATGCATGAGAGTGACTCCAAATTGCCACTTAGTCGGTTATATATCAGGGATACAAAAACTCCCCTCCATCCACCCCACCGTCCCACGCTGACACCCAAGAGAGTCAAATCTCCACAATTCAACATCCCACCATTTTCTGGTTGCACCAAAAATAAATAAATAAATAGCTTGTAAATGATTTCACATCTTTATTCAAAAAACATTTACACTACCAAAAAATGGGAGGAAGTGGGATTTCTTCCTTCTTAAAAATGTTTCTAGAGCTATTCAAGAACTTGTGTTTACAAAATGGTTGATAAAATATTCCTCTGGATGGTACAAGAAGAGCGAGAACCAGGCCCACTGCTAAGGCATGAAAACCATTCATCAGACTGGGCTTCTTTTTCTCCTGCTTCATCAGAGCCTGGGCTCTCCTCGTTTTCCTTTCTCCGTTTTCGGCAGGTACCCCTTCTTTCGTCCCTTGGTTAGCCACTCCAGCCGGTTTTCCCTTGGCTCTCCCTTTCCTTTGTGCTTGGTCTTTGTTGTCCGGAAGATGAATCCATTCCTGCTGCCTATTTGGGGCTTCACCTCCACTTTTGCAGGCGCGGGTCTCACAACCTGTCCGATTTCCTCTGGGCCTCCTTCTTCAGATCCCCTTGGCTGCGCTGACCTTCCTTTGGAGCATCTTGGCTGTGGGGAGGGCGCTTGCCGGATGCCTGCGGACTGCAGGGCACCTACAGCTGGGTTGTCTGGCTGCTGCACTCTGCCCACCAGTGTGCTGGGGGTGGGGGGTGGGGGGTGGGGTGGGAGAACCAGATGGAACCGGATTGGGAACACACCCTATCCTCCCCTCAGGGTATTCTTTGGTGTTGAGAACTATCTGCAAAGTTTCTCATGAGCGCTTCCTGCTGGACCCACTGGGTTCCCTTGTCTCATTACCTGTTTCCAGTTGAAAGGCGTATGTTATTTATCGGAAACTTGACAAGTTTATAGAAAAATACATTAATATGATAAGTCCTTGATAATCGTACCCACTTTAAACATTTTTGTTTGTTTGTTTCTTTCCTTATAATCAGAGTTGAAATTATCTTGTATCTGAATGAGGAGGCTTTAAACATTTTGGGAAAATTCTATTTTAATTATAATTTTCTCCAGTTTTTAAATTCACCCTCATGCAGTTTTATATGGTTGTCATTTATAAAACACCAACATTTGGTCAACTTGACTTTTCAGTGAGTATGTATGATTTATCATTTGGCACTATCATAAAATTATGTCATTATCATTTTGTAAAAGTTAGCAGTCCCAGAAACCCTCAAGGGCAGTTCTACTCTGTTATGGCATCGCTGTGAGTCAGAACTGCCTCTATAACAGCGAATGCATTTGGAAGTCTCACCTACCTCCACAGTCCTGTTGTTGTAGTGCATTATGCACAAGATCGGTGGTTCAAACCCATCAGCCACTCTGTCAGAGAAAGACGAGACTTTCTGCGCTAACAACGATTAGTAACCCACAGGCAGTTCTACCCTGTCTGACAGGGTCACTATGAGTCAGAATTGACTTGGTGGCCTTGAGCTTTATTGAGAAGTCTCAATCTATAAGGTCCATAAAGGGAGAAGAAGAATGTAAGTATCTTAGTCGGGTGCCATCTTCTCTATCCAGACTGGTCTCCAGCCCCAGTGACAGAGCAGAGCTGCCACATAGGGATTTTGTAGGCGGTCATCTTTAGTGGATGAATCACCAGGTCTTTGTCTCATGGAGCTACGAAATATATTCGAACTGCCCACCTCTTGATGACCAGTCTTTAACCATTGCGGTAACAGGGCTTCTGAAAATAGTAATAATACTTATCCAAACAAAAGTGACGACTGTAAGGGTGAATGCGTGTGATGTGTGTAACAGTGCAAGTGAAACATAGAAGTCAGTCTTGAAACCAGTTCCACTTTTAGCTGTTGAAGGGCTGCTGTTATGGAAACTGATCACCAGGCCTTTCTTCAGCAGTACCTATGGGCGACCTTACAAGATTACAGAGCCTAAGGCGACGTGCTTACCTTCAGTAATCCTTCTGGAACGTCCATGAGACAGCTGCGATAGTATTCATAGTCGTAACTACAGCCCTGGAGCTAGGAGAGGGGGAGTTAGGAGGTCAAAGCACATGTGTTGACATCATAGGGCGGCGCATTAGGACGTGGGTGGTTCACGTGGTTTGCGCTCAACTATCACCTGGAAGGGTGGTGGTTCATACCCGCCCAGACATGCTCTAGAACAAATGCCTGCCCACTCGCTTCTGTAAAGATCACCAAACAAAACCAAATGCACTCCGATCACAGCCGGGAGAAAAGCCCACGGCACAGCGCTGCTCTGACCTGCGGGGGACTCGCCCTGGGAGTCCGTTTTGGCGTGTGTGGCATGCGAATCATAACCGTCACTTGGGACCCAGGGGCTCAGGGGAGGTAGCTGTTCTTCCTCGGTGGGGCGTTGGGGAAGGGCTTGCCTACAGAGCTGGAACGTGAATTCGCTGAGGAATTTGCCGAGGGCGGAGAGTCAGGTGCACGCTCTGTGAATGTGATGGAAGCTTCCAGAAGGACTGGACAGGAAGACCGCAGCGAGTTGTAATAGGTTCTTGAAAGGTGATTTGCACCTATATTTGACACCCAGCTCATGATCAGTCTGGCGTTATGGATTGTCTGGAAAGGCATGCGGATAGATGGGAGGGGGTACGCAGAGACCGGAATGCCATGACAAACGCTGTCTAGCTGGGGTGGGAGCTGTGGCATGGGCAGGGAGGGTGGACACCCAGACGCCTCTGCACGCGAAAGGGTGCTGTTTGCCACGCAGTGCCAAGCTCTCCTCCTTGCTTTGCTACCTCTCCCGTGTCCAGGGAATCCTGCTCCTGGTGCTATTGAAAACAACAGTAATGCCATGTACCTCCATTAAACGTGGGCCTGTGGTGCTTTCTGCATTCTCTCTATATGACAATTGACTCAGGCCCCCCTTTTACTAGCAGTTAGTGTGTACACCAGGGGTTACTTGCGTTACTTATTTATCTGTGTCAACTTTAATTATATCGAAACCTATCTGTACCATTATAAGAAGGTAAGTAAAGGAGTACTGCTACTATGGTCACAGTTCATGTGTGCATGGCTTATTCCAAACAAAGCATGTTTAAGCAGGCCTTGTGGTCAGTGGATGGCTACAGACTTGTTTTCTCAGTCGTACATGTGTTTTAGTTTCCATGGGGTGTCTTCAACAAACACAAAAAGTCCCATGAAAACGTAGGGACTCACGGAACCGGGGAACGGGAAGAGCGATACCAAAAGGGTAGGAAGAAGGGGAGAGGTGGAGGGGAGAAAGCGGGCACCGAGCCCAATGAATGGCACATACACACACACACACACACACACACACACACACACACACACCTCCAGGGGGAAGAACAACAGAAATCAGAGGGGAAGGAGGACAGCGGTTGGTGTGAGATATGAAAATAATAACATCTGTAATCTATCCAGGGGCCACGAGGTTGGGGAGAGAGGAGGAGGGAACAAAAAGAGGAGCTGATTCCAAGGGCTCAATAGAAAGTAAATGTCTAAAAGAACGATGCCAGTATAAGTACAAATATGTCTGATACAATTGATGTATCAATTGTTGTAACAAGAGTTGTAAGAGCCCCCAATAAAGTGATCTTAAAAGAAACAACAACACAACTTGTGTCTTCCAAGGGGTCTGTTGGTGAGTTAAATTCAAGGCACAGAGGTCTGCTCAAAAGGTTAGGGCGATTGTTTTCTGGATCCTGAAGGCTTACTCTTGATAGATTTTCAAAAAGAGCACAGGAGACCATAAGGGCTTATTATGAAGGAGTTTTAAGAAAACTGAAAATTGTATTGGTAATTTAAAAACAAACAAAAAGGAAAGTTGTGCTGAGGAATATATATATTTTTCCATCATTAAAATGCACCTACTCATTCTTTCAAGGTAGCAGGGGTTGTCCTAAGGAATTTCATCGGGAAAGCTAACCCCATCCACACTACAGCCATGCCCCTGTCCATTCAGACTTCTATTCCCCAAATGCAAACAGCATTTTAAAAGGCACATGAGTTGAGTCTCTGAGGATGCCCAAACTGCCACCTTGACTTAGTAGAAATGGAAAAGTTCAGAATTCTTTGGAGAAGGATGGGAGAGAAGAAAATACCACCTTCAGGAGTGCGTAGACCTACATGGAGGGTATGAATATTTTTAGACACACATGCTCCAAAAAATTAATGGAAAATTTCCACAAACTTGTACAACCAGCACACATTTTCCCCTCCCTTCCCGCTCCCTCCCTCATAAAATTATTTTCATTGCTACTTCGTCACTGTCATTTTGCTACTGTCGTGAATCGGGCGACCTCTGTGAAAGGGCCGTTCGACCCCCAAAGGGGTCGCCACCCACAGGTTGAGAATCACTACCCTAGCTGCTTCTCAACAGCCTAAACAACACAGCCCTCTGTTCCAGGTCCAGCCCGGGGAGTTAGAGGAGTGAGCAGCAGGTGCTGTTGGAAGGGAAGACAGTAAGACTGACATCTGAGTAGACCTAAAGATTTTTGGTGAGGGGCCACGTTCAAGTTCCCTGAGCACTGAAGAGTCTTGGCGTGCTCTACCAACTGGGGGAAGAGGGCTCGCTCCCCAATTCTCAGGTACAAGACCTCTTTCTGCAAGGCCCAGGTGACCCCCAGCACACAGGAGCGGAAGGCAACCCCTCCAGCCCTCCGTTTTGACCTTGTTGCTGGAAACACCTTGATCTGGAAGCGACCCAGTAGTTGAGGCCAGTGGCTGCAGGGCTGGCGACATTCGTTCCTGTGTCTGGACCAGCGCTGAGCTTTGGGGTAGGAGGAGCGCAGCGGACCCTGCAGAGAGCGCTCTCCTACCACACCGCCACTCCACTGCGCCCCAGGGCACCCTAGATTCCAGGCCGAGTGGGCTCCTCTGGGCCTCGAGGCCGCGAGCCCAAAGCGACTAGCCACCAGGCCTTGGGGACCCTCCCCCCACCAACCCCAAGACAGCCCGAGCTCTACATTTGAAATCCCGCTTCTTTGTAATGCAACTCTTGTATTTATTTGCAAGTAAACAAGGGCTAGTTTATTTGACCCGAACAAATCCAAAAATAAAGTGTTCCCTTGCAGCGACAGGGCGGTGGGGCGGGAGACACGCCTCCCGGCAGCGGGCACTGGGTGAGAGGCAGCGGGCAGAGCCCGGTGGAACCCGACCTCCAGCACCCAAACCACTGGGGCCTCCGGAGCCCAAGGACGGCAGCCCGGAAGGGGTTCGGAACCGCCCTCCGTGTGCGCTCCAGCCCAGCCCGCGCCTCACCCTGGGCTCCCGGGCCCCCGGCCC